GATATAATTTGAAACCAATAATGTCTCTAACTTTTTCTTGAGCACAGGGCCTGCATTATGTGAACCGAAACACCTTACTCAAAGAGAAGTGCAGTATCATTGCTGAGCTCTCAGCACTTTCTCTCTCAGACACTTCTGTTCCTTAGACTTTCTCAGCTCTTAGATAGTAATCTGTCTTGGAATTTGTTGTAGATTTCCAGGGTGAATAGATTTCCAAATTAATCTGGTTATTCAATTGGTATTTTTGTCTTCTAATAACTAATATCTTTAAATAATTTATACCTCCTTTTCATGCAGAGGGGACTGATTCTTACTTTCAAAGGCATAGGCAGGAAACCTTATGTTCAAAGGTAGCAAGTAATGATAAGAGCAAATTGCTAATGATGATACAGCTGCAGCCTCCATAGTGTACTTTTTTTTGTCTCAGGTACTCTAGGAATGAGAATTCTCAGAATTACACAGCAGAAGTATTATATTTCTTGGATAACACACTACCAGAAGACTAAAAATGTAGTCAGAGTAAGGGGTTTTATATCTTACAATGAGTCAGTGTTAATAAAAGAACCTTTCCAGATATGCCCAAAACCAAAAACCAAACCCACTGCCGTCAAGTCGATTCCAACTTATAGTGACCCTGTAGGATAGAGTAGAACTGCTCTATAGGCTTTCCAAGGCTGCAAACAAATCTTTAGGGAAGCAGACTGCTGCATCTTTCTCCCAAATATGCCAGCCCTCTAAAATTAATAGTAGACATTCTTTCCGTTTCATCCTCAATGTCTCTTATTTCCCACCTTTTTTGGTGGAAGATAGCATTCTGATTAAAACTTGTACCCAAGAGTAAAACCCTGTTTTTTAAAGGATCTTAGAAGGAAATACATTTACATTGTGTGAGGGCACTAGTGTGAAAATTAAACGTAGGAATGAAAAATCAGAGAGAGGGCAAAATCCCAGATCAGCCTTTTCCCTTTAGCATCTGAGTTCCATTTCAAAAGCAATACTTTCATTACCATATTCAGCATTACTCTTTCCTCTAGCCTGCTGCCCTTTTAATAAGAAAATTTTTGTTCTACCTATGTTATAATTGACATTTGAGCTAGAGTCCTCAAAGAGCTATTTCAGGTCCAGCATCCATGCCATAGATCGCAGAGTAGTCAAAACTATTAAAAAGGGAAGGTATTGTATTGAAGGTTGCTTTCTTTTTATTTTTTAGACGCCCTTCTTCCCCCATGAATCAGCTCTTCAGATAGCTATCCTGGTGAATCATTTCTGCTAATTCCTTCCACAATGCTGACAACTAAAATGTTAACAGGCACCTCCCAGCCCACCCTTGCCACCCACTAGTTGTCCTTAAAACATCTCTACACTTAATGTTAGTTCCCCTTCCTTCCAGTTCAGAGCTAGCCTTCCTTGGAGGCTGATGCTGTGAAAATACTGAATTTCTATCTCAACCTCTTGGGAGAAGACTGATTATGACATATACTTGCAATGCCATCAGGAAATGTTG